TTAGAACGGTGTATTTTCTAAGAATTTGATTGGTTTATATGACTTATTATAGTGTATAATTATTGATTGGATAGTAACTATTAAAGGCCTCTACTTAATTTAAAAACCATTTATAACTATTAAAATAGTTATCTTGCGAAAATGCTCTAATTTAAAATCCATGGGCCAAAATAAAAATACCAAATGAATTTAAAGACATCAATGTTATTATTAGTGTTTTTGCACAGCTTCTGAAGCTATGAAAATAGTTATTTATTATACAAGGGAAAAAAGTATTAGATTTTAGCTCGGGGTTGTGTTGTCTCCCGACGCGAAGTCTTATTGGCACTTATTGAGTGTTAATACTTATTTGAAATTGTTATTTCTATTACTTTGTAAAAAATTGGGTTTTGAATTGTAAACAATTTTACTGCAGGTAAATATACTGAATACTTAATCACAGTTGCAACACTGCCTTACTCTCAGTGATTGACGATATCATAGAGCTACTGACCAAAATTAACTCACACTTTTTCTTATTAGTGAAGGTAACAATGAAATATTACCAAATAAAAAATATCACAAAAAACTTTATTCCTAGATACCGATCTTCGATTTGAAAAACACATTAATAATTCGAGAGAGGCTAAAATGGTGGTTCCCACCTTATCGAGACTGAGGCCCACAAGGGTAAACTCGTAGCGTAACAAAAACGAGAAATGATTTAACTTGGAACGAAATACCGAAAGCTGATAGTAGTATTAGCACGTTGAATTTTTTAGTTTGTGAAGCATTGGCATTACTTAGGTTAAACCATGTGATGATTTTCACAAGCCTTTATTTTTAAAACCACTCTATATCGCCTTTTGATTAGGGTTTAAAAACGTGTTCGAACAATTTATCCAATAATAATTGGCCCCTTTACCTCTTAAGCCTGCACATGTAAAATATTTGGGCTTCTTACTTCGCCTATTTATATTCTATTACATAAATTGGCTTTTAGTTCAGAATTATGTTCAGTACATGACTCATATTTATTTATAAAATAAAAATGACAGTACCATCGCATCAAATCTATTAGAAAAAAAAATCAATACAATTCGCAATATCACAACTATAATACAAGAAACCAATCTGACTTTCATGTACGGCAAGCCATCACTAAAAGTTCCCAAAATACAATTTTTATTAAAGGTTTAAAAAATTTAATAGACTGCCTACAGAAATTAAAAAAAAAAAAACAATAAATGTATTCAAAAGTAACCTCAAACAATACTTGATAAATAAACAGAACGGATATACTTTCTTGTGATAATACTCTTTAAACCTGCCCTTTTTAATAAATTCCCTTAATTTATTGTTATTTTACCCCTCGTTTTATCCGCATTTATTATAGATTGTTTGTTCTGAGATCATGTACTTTATTTTAAAAAATTACTTGGTTATATTAATACTACTTACTATGTTTAAATTATTAATAGTTTTGCGACGATAGGTTATAGCAACTTATAGCCATAAAACTATTTTTGTGTTAAAGTAGATCCATAGAGAGCAATGTAATTTACAAAGGCCTTCTTTCAACATACAAATAAATGATAACTTTATAATTAAAATGAAAAACAACAAAATACCTCAGCATCATAATTGATCAAAATTTGAAATGGGCATTATATCCTAACTCTCTTTTATATAATAAAAAAGTGCTTTGTTATTATAAGAACATTGTACCTTTATTTTTGGAAAGCCTGAATTGAGATATTTAATATTTGCATAAATATCAAAAGAAGTATACATTTTTAAATAATTTGACATTTAAGAGCCATTCACATATCACAGTTGACATCTTGATACTTGACAGGCACAGCCAGGCATTATTTTGATTCTATGGGGTTGCGACAGAGAACCAGTAAATTTGATGAAGGTGTTTTTGTGGCTAGGGGCGAAATAGTAGTACGCTTATAAATTGGCAGGCTTGGCGACTAATTTCGAATGAAAATAGTCTCCAAAATGGCTATATGGTTGCAAGTATGAAGGTCGCAACCCGCCTTAGAAATTTCACCTTTACTATCAACAGCTGTTGTTTGTCAGGTCGTTAGAGAATGTTTGCAATTTATGGAATGTAAAGAATGTTAGGAATTTTGACGTTACAAATAATTGGAATTCCTAAAATTGTCACATAAGGAATGCATAGGCGGATTTTAAGAAAATTGTTATTAAAGTAGTTAGGATGAACCGAAAATTCTGAAAATCAATAGTAGAAGTAATTATTCAAGAAAATCAAAACCGCAAGTCAATCAGAACTTTCGTTCTAGAGTTATCGTGCCGGCATACCTACAGACGACCAGACGAAATTTTTTTTTTTTTGATTTTGGGACTCGGAAACATGAAAAAAAGTTTTAAAAATGGGGGTCAGAAAATTTTTTCGTTTGCACGAATGCAATACTGAGGCCCCATAGGAAGGGCCTCAGTAATATAATGAAAAAATGTTTAGCAAATCGTATTATGTGAATTTCTTGTATTTTCTCACTTGAACTTTTATGCTTCAGTCTATGGACCGTGCATTACTCAATTCAATAACCAACGTTTTTAGCGCATTCAAAATACCTGCATAATTTAGAAATAAAAAAATCAAAGAGTTTCTCGTAAAAAGAGTGATTTCAGTTGATGGTAAGTCAAGATGTTTTGTGCAAACCTGTTGCCTATTTCAAAAAAATTTACAGAAGCATTGTACATAATCTTAAAATCTGTAGAAGAAATTTTGTATCGATCCCACAAGTTTAAATTTGAATTACAGAAAAGTAATGATTTGATCAGTTTCTGATATTTAAAAGACTAGATCTTCCGAATTTTTTAAAGTAACGACAATTCTATTTTTTCTTCGCCCTTTATTGCACTTTTCATTCTAGTAAATATAATTTTGTAAATTTATTACCCGAGGGTCTTTGAGGTCGCTGATTACGAATCCGATGTCAAATGTATAAAATTCAAAATGGCCGATTCAATATGGCGGACGGAATTTTTAAAATCAACGGAATTCGCTTGAAACTTTTCACTCAGGTGTATTTGAAGTATCTGATTACGAAACCGATATCAAAAATACCAGATTCAAATTGAATGAAAACTTTCCAATTTCCAAGAAATTTGGTATCTTGAGGTTTTTTAAATCACCGATTACGAATCTGCTACGAGTTCAAAATGACAGATCTAATGCTGCGGATCTTGATATAGAAATGGAAGACGAACAAATATTGAATTAATAAGTTTCAATAGTCATTTTCAATTTCAAGTCTTGACCGACAATTTTTTAATTCTGTCGACCGCTAATTTGTATTTATAATTTTTCAAGACACCCCTTAGAAACTCCGTAGTTTTAATTTTATGCAAAACAAGCAATGTCTCATTCACCTTAACCTTCTTAGAAAACCCCAGGTTTAATGTTAATGCAAAAAAACTAATATTTTCGGGCGCCATATTGGATCCGCCATTATGCATTTATAATTTTTAAAGTCATATACAAAATCAGTGAACCCAAAAACCCTTATAGACTCCCCTGGTTAAATTTTTATGCAAAACAAGTAATTTTTAATACTTTTGGGCGCCATATTAGATCCCCCGTTTTGTATTTATAATTTGTCATATTTCAAATAAACGACCCCAAACACCCTTCAGGTTTCATTTTTATGCAAAATAAGCAATTTTTAAAATTTTCGGGCTTCCTGTTAGATCCGCCATTTTGTATTTCAATTTTTTATTGTCATAGTCAAAATTGGCGACAAATTTTTTTTTTTAATATTTTTGGTGCGACATACTGGATCCGCCATTTTGCATACCTAATCTTTAATGTCACATTCAAAATCAGAAACCCAAAAACGACCTTAGAATCCCCCAGATTTCATGTTTATGCTAGACACTCAATTTTTAATATTTTTGGACGCCATATTGGATCCGTCATTTTGTATTTCCAATTTTAAATGTCATATTCATAATCAGCCACCCCAAAAGCTCTTCAGGATTAATTTTTATGCAAAACAACCAATTTTTAATATTTGCGGGCGCTATATTGGATCTGCTATTTTGAATTTTTAATGTCATATTCAAAATCAGTGACCCCAAAACGTCCTTAGAAACACCCTAGGTTTAATTTTAATGAAAATAAAGCCATTTTTAATACTTTAGGGAGCCATATTGGATCCGCCATTATGTATTTCTAATTTTAAAAGTAATATTAAAAATCGGTGAACCCAGAAACCACCAGTTTCATTTTTATGCAAAACAAGCAATTCTTAATATTTTAATATTATATCCGCCGTTTTATAGATCTAGTTTATGTCAGATTCAAAATCAGCGACCCCAAAAACCCTTCAGGTTTAATTTTTATGCAAAGTAAGCAATTTTTGATATTTTCGGGCGCCATATTGTAGTTCTAATTTTTAATATATTTAAAATCAGCGACCCCAAAAACCACAATATACAGACGTTCATCTCATGAAAACGAATCTGATATTTTGGCCAAAAAATAGGCGATACGTCCCACAGTTCAGTGGCGTACGTCCATTTTAAAATCTATTTTGAAAATTTAAGACTCCCTTAAACCCGTTTCTGCCTTAATTAGGCCTTTTACGACCTTCACTTTTTCACTATCAATAATTGATGAAGAGAGTCACCTCTGAAATCCCTTTTTTGATACGTTTATGCCGAAAGAGGTAGACGAAATCCATAGGTAGTTCCGAAAACATTGACCGATTCTGGTCTAGTCCATTCTAGAACAGCTGGTATTTTCAAAAACAGGTCTGGTGCGCCGCATTTTTATATAAATAACCGAATTTTGCCAGTAAGTTCAGGTTTTAGATAGATACCGATCGGTCAACATAAAAAATGTTGTAAAAGTAAATTCGTATATAAGTGTTAAGTTGTAAAATATATTATTATATTCAGTGAAAATAAATTGAATGGCAGACTGTATGAAATAAACGTTACATGAATTTTAAAAACATCCCATATAATTGTTAAAAATCACTTACCGTTCAGCAAACTCAAATTGAAAAACTTCGCTTCGATGGATTCCAACTCGAATTTACTGTCATTCCTCTTGTCGAATGTCAAACTAAACACGTTCTTGTCCCATTTCAAATTGATAGCGTCGCGCTTTTCATCACAGCTACCGTCCGCAATGGCTCCCACGGGCAAATTTATTTTCTTGGTAGCATTGGCCAACAAAAATTCGAATTGAACGGCGGCGTCCACGATCATGCAACTTTTGTTGACATTTTTGTCAAAGTGCACGGACCAATTGCCCGTTTGGGGCTCTGGTACCGGTTTGGGCGGTTCTGTAGTGGTGATGGGAGGAGCTGAGGTGGTGGTAGTAGTATTAGGTGAGGGTGGTAATGCGGTGGTAGTACTCGTGGTAGTAGTATTAGGTGACGGTGGTAATGTGGTGGTAGTACTCGTGGTCGTGGTATTAGGCGAGGGAGGTGCTACGGTAGTACTCGTAGTCGTGGTATTAGGGGAGGGAGGTGCTGCGGTAGTACTCGTGGTCGTAGGGGAGGGAGGTGCTGCGGTAGTACTCGTGGTCGTAGTTTTAGTTGTGGTGGTTGTGGTTGAGGATGTTGTTGTAGTATTAGGTTTGTGTGTAGAGGAAGGTGGCGATGTTACTGTTGTGTTAGGATGTGTTGTTGAATTATTAGGATTTATTGAAGGAGGAAAAGGTTCTGGTTCAATACGTTCATCTGCAAAATAAAAACGAATTATTAATCATTTAAAAATATATGATGTCTGCAACACATGACTATCCAGTAAAGTTATTAAATATATAGAGTACGAACCATCTAATCAAAAGGTGTTTGGAATATGAATTAAAGATTAAAAAACATTCCACACTTTTTATTTTAAACCTTCATTGCCAACAAATATTCGAATGTTGCACTTTTCCTCAATTTTCTCCATTACGGTCCATTTTAGTGAAAACAGGAATCATGTAATGACAAAAATTATAAAAAGTAACATAAAAAACAACTCTTATTTGAAAAAAATGTTTTTTTCAATCACAAATAACAGAAATAAACCTTAAAGTAGAAAAAGCTCTCCTAGATGCTCCAACTATGCCCAAAATCTAACCAATTCACCGCCTGGATAGATTAATGGATCATTACACAAGGCCAATTGTGAAGACATTCCAATCCAATAAGTAAAGATAATCCAATGAACATGTAATTGTCGTTCTACACGTAGACTATAAATAAATGGCTCCACTCCCAGTGACAGATCGCATAGATATTTCAACTTTGTATACTTCCACCATATGTATAGGTAGGTCGTAAATTTATTTTTTTTTTTACATCTTCGGTTATTTCAGGTAGCTCCATTCCAACAATTATCTATTTTAAGGTTGTATTTCTTGCGTCTCTGTCACGGTATGATAAACTATCAATTCTCCAGAAGCATTTTTCTTTGTTTTATAACAGTATAATTTGATGTCATCTTAGTAAGTCCATTTTCTTAAAACCAATCTTAAGAGGAGCGCAAAAATACAAAAACTAAAACGCGTGTGCCCGGCAAATGCCTAGTAGCTATTAGTTAGAAACGTACATTTCCACAATGCCATGCTAAGTCACTGAGCGAGTGCTAGGGGAAGCTAATGACTGCAATAAATTTGAAACGATTCTAATTGAGTGGAGTGGCTTGAGACATTCCACTCCCATGAATTGCCTATCCACGCGTTGCCAATATTGGAATGGCTTAGGATATTGGAATGTCTTTACAATTTATTATTAGCTTCGTGTAAAGTGCAAATGGTCCATATGGTGTTTTTCTCATTATCCGTTTTTGAGCTATCAAGGATACAGACACATAGCCAGACATGCACCATTGTGAAAATTGTCAAAAAGTAAAGATTCATCGAAATCTAGAGGTCGAGAAAACCTTACAGGCTACTGGAAAGTAGCTGGACCATCGATAATAAACATTTACGAGTACACGGTCCGTATTCGCTCCGTGCGAAGTCATGGAAAGGGAAGCAAAAGCGATACTAGCGGTAGCTGCGGATAATTCGTGCATTTTAGGGCGATATTTTGTAATTTTGGCATATCAATTACACGTATACATTTTACTTTTTTTCAAAAAAGTAGGTAAAAACAATACAATAAACAACCGGAGTTGCTGTGTTGAAAATTGTACAAATACTACCAAAAAAAACAGTAAAACTTATATAAAAAATTTCAGTAGCAAAGTGGAAATTAAATCAAAGAAATAAATGGATAGGTGTACAATAAGAAGAAAAAGTACCTTTATTTTTGTAATAATAACAGTAATGCTGGAAATAGTAGACACCAGAAACTTGAAAGGTTTTAAATAAACAATAAATTATCATTTTACGATGTTCTTTAATATCCCTTTATTCTTAAATGTTCATTTAGCAAGGACTAGATTTCAAGATTTCTGCCTTTGATTATTATGTGTGGCTGGAATGCAATTTTGTGAGTTACTGATGGGAAACCAGTTTTAATCATTCGTCGTTCTATGTTTTCTTTGGAACAAAAATGAAAATATAAATAACGATCCATTGTTATACATTTTAACTTCACGCTATTAATAAATGGTATTTTTTTATTTTGACAGAATAGGCTAATTCTTCAATGACAACTTATTAGACTTAGGCAACTTCTTCTACATTTTCCAGTAAATACTGTTGCCTGCCTATATTTTATTATTGATTTTTATTGATTATAGATAATTTTCTTTAATTTAAGCGGTAAAAATATATAATAATAAATTTATGTTTTACTTGTTTTACAAATCCGTATACTTTTATTAAAACTAACATATATACTTTTTATTTACGAATTCTATTAAAAATTGTATTTGTCAGTATACGCAGAAATAGTCCATTAGTACCGAAAAGAATTGGCGCGTCTGTCGAGCACGGAGCGAATACAGTAAAAAAGCAAGGTTGCCGATGTTGATAGGTTTGGTCCTGAATTTATATAGCTAATGGTTTTACTAACAAATTTTTTATAAAATAATGGCAATTACTGACAGAAGACAACATTTATAAGAATTCTAACATTTACTCGCCAAAAGTGATAAGTTTGACTGAGTTTCTTTAAAATTTGATAAAAATCGTCCGAGATTCAGTGGAACAGTTGAGTAGAAAATTATTCGTCACGTGCAACTTTTAGTTTTCTTGAAGAACTCAAACAAGCCTGATTTCTGAAAATATATTACACTATGTATTTTCTTGGCAAATTTACTGGCGTTTGCCACTAATTAATTACTAACAAATTAGTAACCCTGGTGAAGGCAAATGAAACGTTGAAATATCAAAGGGACTTATTCGAATTACATTCTAACACTCACACAAAAATTAAATTACTATATCACCAGCAATCATTTATATAAAATTGATTACACACGTCTAATCGAATCATAAAATTCACATTTAAAATACCGACCTCTAACAATAAAATTTCAACCCCATCTCTACGACTTTATTAACGACCAGCCCTCTTCCGGCTGAAATAATAGTTAACACAAAGCCAATAATATTCAATAATTTTGGTTTAATATACCTTCATGTAACAGTATATTATGCAACGATCATGTGATGATGTATTAATAACCATTACATGAGAGTTGCATACGCTATTTTTTCTACGCCTGATAAATAATCAAGAACTATAAATATTATATTTATATTGAACACAATAACAGTAATTGTATTTCTATAAAAAATTCTACAAAATTGTAATTAATGGTATTATCTCGGGTATTGGTATTACCATAGATTTTTGGAGCAAAATATTTTGTACTGCATTTTCTGCTTTTTCCGATATGTGTGGAGGAGTCAATGGTAAGGTAAGTCTTCTATATCGCTGATATCAGACAATTTGATAATATAATTATCCAATTTAATACGTACTGATTTTGACAACTAAAACAATTACTTAGGAACCTAGGACAAACGTCAAATGCACAGCATGGTTGATTGAAAAATTATGGGTTTCTATTGATTAAAAATCTGTATCGTTATGAAAAATCATAATGATCATTATGAAACGGATTATGGGCATATAAGTGCATTATAATACGGATGTAGAAAAAGTTAATTTAAGTAATATGTATAATAAGTAACATGTACGTTTAAGGGTAATGTGCGTCACGTAATATGAATATCATAGAAGAATGTTGTTTTCATTTATGGACGTTCCGGCAGTTCCCCGGCCGGTACAGAAACCTGGCCATGGCCGGTACAGAAACCTGGCCATTTTCACCTAGGACAACAAATACCTAAAGTAAGGTCTTTATCGTTCCAGGGCTTTTCGTAAATTTGAGTTTATCATGAAAGGAGCATATTATCAACGGGAACAACATATTAAAGGAGCAGTATCTCATAGGTGGCAGTTGGGTCTGTACCATTTGCAAGAATATTAATTTCTTCTCTTTGTTTATTGTTCTTGGCACCTTTTATATATATTTCAACGCTTCAATTATTGTATTTTATTTGTCCATGTAAACCCTCATAATACACATAAACCGCATTCGATTTGCAGTCGCCTAGCTCTGTGTTTTGATTGGTGAATTTACTGATCATGATCAGTCTGATCAGTTCGAAAAAATACTATCGATAGTTTTTTAAATTTATCGACAGTGTTCAATACTTAAAACTATCGGTAGTTCTCAATCTCTGCTGGAAAGTAAAAACAGACAAATTTAATGATGTCTTATTTTCATTTTAGTTTTACTTTCCTGTATCTAGTAAGTGAAGTACAGAAATTACGAATTTTTTTCTGCCTCAAAGGTGAAAAAATTACCCTTCATTCATGGACGCTAGGTGCGGTTTGCCTAGAGCGCCAGCTTTGATATCGTGGTGTGGTCCTAATTAATATATTAAGAAAGTATATTCAGTGCAGGTTATTACAAAATCCAGAGGTTATCTAATAATAGCGGTTATATGGTATTGTGAGGAAAATAAATCGTCTTATCTAAAAGAAGAGAGGAGTTAATTTCACTCCAATAAGGGATACGTTTAAATTCGACTACTGCTTAAATAGTGTATAATTAATAAGAGCGTTCAAGAATATCACACGCCTACTCGGTATATTTTAAATAAGTAGCTCTGAACCCTTTTTATCTCACTGCGAGTGATGGCATAAGACAGGCCCCAGGACTCTACCAGGGTATCTATTCTTGAATCTCAGGGAGTAGAAATTTTGAGGGAAGAATGAGACAAAAATACAAATTTTGTGCATTGCAGATAAAGATGAAAACCCGTTTTCTATTTCCTCGAATTCAAGAATAGCTACCCAGATGACACGGTGAATACAAACGACGTTCCTCTCGATGAATTTTTACATTTTGGGGTCTTCTGAATCCGTTTTGTCATTTTCAAGGTGATGTCTGTCTATGTGTTTGTATTTACGATAATTTAAAAAGGGATAAAGAGAAAAACACCAAATTATAAAGTTAAGTTTTAATCCTTACTGCGGTAAACTGATTAGATTTTGGGCATAGCCGAGCATCTGAGTGTGTACTTTATAGTGGGCATTTTTCTACAATAAGATATATTTCTGTTTTTCATGATTATAGAATTAAATTCTTTCAATAAGAGTTGTTTGTGATGTCACTTTATAATTTTTGCCTTATAAATGATTTCACTAAAATAGACCGTAATGGAGTTTGAGGAAAAGTGCAAACTTTGAATTTTTCAGGAAATGAAGATATGAAAAAAGGG